AATCACCAAGAAAAATTTATTTTTTTGAAAGCTCAAAATAACCATTTTTGGGCGTGGCACCCGGAAAAATTTTCGGCATTTATTCAACTTCTTAAATTAGTAATTTGGACCAATATAATAATCCACGCGCCGCCATTGCCTGTATGCACCCCCCTGAAACTAATCCTGGCGGCGCCTATGAATAGAGATATTTTCTCTATTTCTATTGACGTCTCCTCTCTATTGATTTCGACAAGAAAGAAGAAGACAGCAAGTGCCATAGCGATAGGGATAACGATCCTTATCCGTTACAGAGTTCCAGCCGCTTTCCCTCTGGATAACATCAGTCCCGCTTTTTCATTTCAATGATCTGGCAACCCTGTACGTTACAGAGTCCCAGCCCTGGCAACTTTATGACGTCATCTGGGGTGCCTCAACGTAATGCAAATCTCTATAAGGTATCCCAGATCAGATGCGTCATCAAGTTACCCATTACCTACGATTCTTGCCCATTACCATACAACCTGAACCTTGATTTATTGAAAAATTTGCCTTCGGCGCCATAAGCCCCATTTTGTTTACCTATAAAAAAAATTTAAGGGGGGGGGGGCAAATAGAGCATGCCCTATGTCAAATTTGTCATGCCCTATCTTAAATTTGACTCTAGCTACGGCCCTGTATAGAATGAACAGTTTTTCTCTTCATTTCATTTAACAACCTCAAAATTTGTCTGTATTATAATTATTTATTAATAATAACTTTTCTTGATGGGCTGTGAAACATACGAAGGCGTAGAAGGGACACCCAACTTTTTTTTTCTCATTTTTTAAAATTTCGACTTATAACTCGAAATTTTATAGTAAAATTTCGTGATATAACTCGAAATTTTAAAATTTCGACTTATAACTCGAAATTTTGTAGTAAAATTTCGTGATATAAGTCGAAATTTTAAAATTTCGAGTTATAAGTCGAAATTTTAAATTTTCGACTTATATCACGAAATTTTAAAATTTCGACTTATAACTCGAAATTTTAAAATTTCGACTTATATCACGAAATTTTACTACAAAATTTCGAGTTATAAGGCGAAATTTTATAGTAAAATTTCGTGATATAAGTCGAAATTTTAAAATTTCGAGTTATAAGTCGAAATTTTAAAATTTCGTGATATAAGTCGAAAATTTAAAATTTCGACTTATAACTCGAAATTTTAAAATTTCGACTTATATCACGAAATTTTACTGTAAAATTTCGAGTTATAAGTCGAAATTTTAAAATTTCGAGTTATATCACGAAATTTTACTATAAAATTTCGAGTTATAAGTCGAAATTTTAAAAATTGAGAAAAAAAAAAGTTGGGTGTCCCTTCTACGCCTTCGTAGAAACAAGTAAACAAGTTCCTAATCCTAATAATTTGTCTAATAATAATTAATTATCGTATACGAATACCAAATGAAAAAAGAAACGGAGCAGTTTTCTGGTCGCGAAAAGGAAATTCTAATTTCTTCGGTTGAGAATGTTGAGAAATATTTCATCGGAAATAAGAAAACCGAAAACCATAACCAATACAGTACAGTTGGTCGTGATTGTTGTGAAACATTGAAATGGTCACCGCAATACAAAGTTGAAGAGACCCGGTTGCAATCAAAATCTGATTTTTTTTAGATTGGTTTATTTCTTTCGTCCGCAATGGCTCCAAGACTAGGTTCAGTGTTCAGAGGTTTATTTTCAGCCTTTGAAAGCTATTTTTGTTTATTCTAAATGTTTTATGAAACTCCAAATCATCCAATTCAGTGAATAAATCATTTTTACCCTCACATTTCTGGGCCTGGGAAGATCTTCATCTGATATATGGATCATCAATGAACCTCCAAAAAAATTCAGGTCAATTTTATCCATTCTGTTTATTTTGCCAAAAAATAAAAACTTATAAAGTACCTACCACAAATTAAAATTTAACGAACCATCCATTCTTTTCAATTTATGGATACATTCGATTTTTCTTTGAAAAAAAAACAATAACACTTATCAGACAGATAACTTCCTTTAGGGCCAAATTATGGACCAACTGGTAAGTGTCTGGTTGTTACCTAGCAGGTACTTTCTATGCATTAGAGAATAGAAAGTAACTGCTAGGTAACTACCAGACAGTTACCAGTTGGTCCATAATTTGGCCCTTAACAGCCCAAATTTCGCCTGACAACTTTATCAGACTGATATCTACTACTCAAGGTTGGTGAATACCAAATTTTACGTTAACAGTCTGACAAGCAGTTTATCAGACTGATAAGCAGTTAGCGGTCGTTGGTGAATACGGCCGTTAGAATGTTAAATAATGTAGTAAAACCATGTATTTTATAAAGCAAAAGCCTGCGGAATTATAACCTGTAGTGCAAACAGCCTACATCAAGGCGAGAAAGGATATACTGCCTACGTCACAACTGGGGATTTGGCGTGGTGGGGAGGCTTCAGATTTTTTCCACACAGGCCTCATGAGAATAGGCTATCCTGTAGTAGTAGTGTGTATTATCCTTGCTAAAGTACAGCTTTTTCTCTCTTCTGCAAATGGAAGCAGAATGAGATAGAGATAATAGAGAGTTATTGGAACTAATAAATACTGCCTCGCAGTATTAAGGATCTACGTTATTTTATTAGTGCATCAGCACTATTTTTCCAAGAGAAAAACAGTTATTGGAAGACTGTAGTAGGTGCTAGAGTATTACCTTATTTTGTATTCATAATTTTGACAGCTGATAGCTGTGTTTATAAATTTCAACCTCAAAAAGTGTTTATTTTTGTTTGTGATTTTCTGCTGATACTCATTTTCCGATGATACCCACAGTAGGGGTGGGCAAAATAATCGATTAATCGATTAATAATCGATTAGTCGATTATTTTATTTTCAAATAATCGATAATCGATTAATCGATTATTTTCGATTAATCGATTAATCGATTATTTTCGATTAATCGATTATTTTCGATAATCGATTATTTTAGATTATTCGATTATTTTCGATTATTCGATTATTTTCGATTAATCGGTTATTTTCGATTGATGAATTATTTACGATTAATCTATTATTTTTGAGATAATTTTATGTTTTGTTTTTGTTTGCATATCTAAGGGCCGGTTTATTCACCTTCTGATAAACTGTTAGGTATGCAATTTCGCGGATAATAACACAATCTGTAATCCCATTGGTCGGCCAGTTATTGGTCGGCCCTTGGTCGACCGAGACAATAATTATAGAAGGGTAAATTGATCTTGCTAATAGTTGTCAACCAGCAAGTCTATCTGAAGATGAATAAACCAGGCCTCAAACTCCAAAGTAACCAGAGAGTTTATTTCAAAACAAGCCGGTTAAGGGCAAGTGAATTTCTTTTACTTCATGAAACCCAAGAAAAAAATCTACCGATTATTGTGAAATAAGCGAATAATCAAAAATAATCGGATAATCAAAAATAATCGATAGATCGAAAATAAACGATTTATCAAAAAAAATTATCGATTAATCGAAAATAATCGATTATTATTTCCGGTTAATCGATTATTTTCGATTAATCGATTGTTTTCGATTAATCGATTATTTTCGATTAATCGATTAATCGAAAATAATCGATTATTTTTAATAATCGATAATCGATTATTTATTTTGATAATCGCCCAGCCCTAACCCACAGTAAAATGGAAAACTACTGTAAAAAATTAATTTTCTAAGTAAAATTACGTCATCGTCGAAAAGCAAAACGTCAAAGTCGTCCAAAATGTCAGAAATTTAAAATAAGGAAAGTTTACTGCCTTGCACTAACCATACACAAATAAAGACAAGTAGTAACCTTATAAAGGGAATCCTTATTTTCCAACCCAATTGCGCATGCGTAGATGTCAAAATAAGGCTAATTCAAATACTGCTTGTCCTTATCGCTTATCGCATGTCCAATAACTCTCTAATAGGCAATCAGATCAGACTCCGCCACCATCAAATTCTGGCATACTCGAGGATACTCTGGGTCAAGAGAACACATAGGGGGCTTTTGAGCGATTGACCGGTCGGTACCTTTGACAGATGAGCAACGCATTTTACGTCATTCAAGACCAATTGGTTACCAAATGATGTTTACTTCATTGTTTATATGGCAAGTCTAACCGACCGGTCAAACACTTGAAATCCTCTTCAATTTAATAGGCTAATAAGACTGCTTATTGAACTGAAAGTGTCTGTCGTTTCAGCCGCAGATCTCAATAGGGGACTTGCATGGAAAATTAAATTGATTATTGTTTATTGGAAACTGTAGGAAATCGAAAAAAAAATAGTTACTTTTTTTTAATTTCACCCAAATATGATTATTCCGGAAGTTATACAAATATTAAGTTTTTTATACCTATATAGATATACTGAGCATGTGCGACGTCACAACTCACAACGTATTATACCTCTAAGTTATGACGTCGGAAGGACATTTCAAAGCGTTGTATCTCCGTCAATTTTTGACTAACAAGAAAAAGAAAAAACACGTGTTGACTTATTTTTCATGGACTATCGAAATCAGCAATAAAAAAATTTGATGCAAGGGGCCTATTCTTGGCCTATGCATTAGCCGAGTTCAAAACACTATAGGTCAAAAAAAGGACTTTCTAAACGTTGAAATCTAAATCTGGTTAAATCACCTTTTCTACATAAATCGACGAAAAAATTAACCTGAGCACAACCTGATGAATCGCAAGCATTCCATTGAGGACTGCGGGCGACGTCACCATTATTAGCTGCTGATATTGGTGAAGTCACTCGCAGACCTTGCCGATTCGGGAATTGGCGAACGCACGCCGTGGATAAGCATTGAGCAATCCTGTTAGTTTGTAATTCTTGACTCTGGGTTATGTCGCAAAAATAGCAGATTAAAAGTTCGAGTAATGGCTGAACCGAACAAGGAACCGAACATGATGAAAACGCTTATTGCTTGATTTTCCCCCCCCCCCCCACCCATTATTTCCCCTCTGATATTTTTCTCACGCTGGGACCGACATCAACATCAACGTAACCGAACTAACTAATCTTGCTTGAAAATTATGTCGCGAAAAATTTCCCAAAGGCGCGTTTCCACTGAAAAGTTGGAAACTTCTATGTTGGCAGCTCTTCCGAAAGTCATCTTGGAAACACGCGTATCCCTTTGATGTTTACCGCCACAAACGGAAACACGGTTCTCGACATTTGTTTACAATTTTGGTTAACAACATGGGAAAATTTTAGAAACTTTTGTCAAACACGTGTTGGCAACACAAAAGTTTCCAATTTTCCTTTGGTGGAGACGCGCCTTAATATTATAAGCTACGTTGCCATTAGTGTTATTTTTCAATTTCTGTATTGGCAATTGGCAACACTGGTTTCCAGGAGGAACATTTGTTCTTGTTGTGGTTCTGCTGATTGCATTTAGATGGACTTTTAATTTTAATTTAATTTTCAAACTATTACATCAAATTAACATTAAACATGCTCATGATCGATAGATAATCTTTTTTCTTTTAAATCTTTGTGGCCAAAACATATGACTGAAAAATAGTGGATTAATTATTAAGTACAGTTCAAGTGGTATCAAAGTTCATTTGATTCAAGATCAGCTAAAATATTTTTCATATAATTTAATAATTAAAAATGGATTTTAATGTGCTAAAAAGGTCGCGAATGGTGCACCTGTGCTGGGCTATGACCTTTTTCACCTCGGGAATTATTGTAAATTTGATACAGGCAATTTTTTACTTCGGACTCAGGCCCTTCGATAAGAGTTTGTACAGGAAAATCAATTGGTATCTTTGCTACACTATTTATTCACGTAAGTATTCATTAAATTACCTAAAGACCTACTTTTTTATGTTATTTTCTGTATATACTATATACAACATAAGGCATTTCCATAAAGTCAACTTTTTGTTTTATCTTATGTTATGTCTCTTTTTATGTTACTTATGTGTCTGTATAAACCCACCAAAGAGTCTCAAAATTTAAATTATTGAAGATAAATTCTCTCTCTTCTAGAATTGGTTTGCCTAGCAGAATGGTGGGCCAATGTAAAACTAATCCTGTACATAGACAAAAAAGAGTGGGAAAACATATTTCGGCAAAGAGCACGGTTATTGTATCATGAATCATTCGTACGAAACCGATTGGCTAATGGGATGGATGGCTTGCGAAAAAATGGGAGTTTTGGGCGTAAGTATAAACTTCAATATCTTCTCTCCAGTAAAAATAACTCAAATTATCTTCTCTCAAAAAAAAAAAACCTCATTTCACATTTAAATTATGTTGAAAAAAAACGAGCAATTAGCAAGCACTACATGAAATGAATGCCCTCGTGAATACCTAAATCAAAATTATTATGATGAATAATCGAGTGAATAATGCAAAGTTTATTTATTGCTGCTAATTGTTCCCTTGAAAAAAAATATCAAATTAACATACAATTCGATCTGAATTACATCACTTTCGCTTCGCTTTAAAATTATTCTTGATTATGACTTGAAAGTGTGCAGTAGGCATTCTAAAAATGCTATAGGGCAGCAGGAAAAAGAAAAATTGATAAAATCAGGGGCGGAACTACGAACAATCGCTATCGATAATTTCTCGACAAGTTCTCACCTCGTTCACCCATCGCTCAACGCTAGTCGCCAAAATTGCCACCGCAAACGTTCGTTTGCACCACAAATGTTCGTTTGTGGTGGCAATTTTGGACCCTAACATTGAGCGATGGGTGAACGAGGTGAGAAATGAAGGGACATTGTCGAGAACTTATCGATAACGATTGTTTGTGGTTCCAGTGCAGGTTTAACAAGTAACCAAATTAATAACAGCAACTTCTCTTCTATTAAAACAAAATGTACGAAATGTTACTTTTAATTTACCACAAGGTTGGCAAAAATCTGGCTTATTATTTATTTTGTAGTATATAGAGAACTATGATTTATTTTTTTCCAAGATAGATTCTGGCATTGTCAATTTTGAAACATAAACAATGCCGCTAATGCCGTTTATTGGTCGCTATTGTAAAACTGATGTCAACCTGCAGAAACACCTCATTTTGCGACCAATCAGAGTCAAGCGTTATTGTTTATGTTTCAAAGTTTTCAATGTCAAAATCTATCTTGGGAAAAAAATAAAGTTTTTTTTTTGTAGATTTTTGTGTTTTTGATCTATATTTTTATGTATTAAATATCTAACAATTTCAAACAAATAATGATATTCGCACTAATCAAGCTATACAAAATGGCATTCGTCAGAGTCTTTATTGAAGCTATAAATTCCTGAGGAAGGCATTCAATTATTGAAAACTTACTTTCCAAGAACAAAATGAAGCAAATAATCAATAAATTCATGTCTATCAACTTAGCGAGACAACTTCGGAAAATCGATTTTCCGTTATGCCAAGAATTTGCCGCTTTTTTGCCGCTAATTAAATGTGGAATTTAAAAATTTGCCGCTGTTTTGGTTTTTTCTTAATTACGTGTTTTGCTAACTTGACGTCAAGATAGCGAGACAACATCACTAAATATGTCAGCAGTAAAAAATTAGGTGGATGAAAATTTGCCGTTTTTTTGCCGCTAATTAGTTGTGTAAACCAAAAATTTGCCGATTCTTTTTTTTCCATAAAAAATCAAGTTTGAAAAAAAAAAATTATTTGCTTCGCCAACTTGACGTCAAGTTAGCAAGACATTATCACTAAAAATGTCGGTAGTGAAAAATTGAATGAATGGAAATTTGCCGTTTTTTTGCCGCTAATTAGTTGTGAAAACCAAAAATTTGCCGCTTTTTTTTTTTAGAAAAATTCAAGTTTGAAAAAAAATCATGTGTTTCGCTAACTTGACGTCAAATTAGCGAGACAATATCACTAAAAATGTCGGTAGTGATAAGTTGAGTGAATAGAAATTTGCCGTTTTTCTGCCGCTAATTATTTATTTATTTATTTATTTATTTATTTCAAACAGTATCTACAGCCAAAAAGCCAATTACAGATACCTATGCTTATTCTAAAAGTATGTAAAATGTCAATAAAAAGTTTTGTAAAATGTCATCAAATTAATAACTATTACAACATCCAACGTGAAAATGTAAACGACATAAATGCAAGTAAAACCAACATTAAACATGAACAGTACACACGAAACTTACATGCTAAGTATTGCGTAATTTTAAGTCAATTATTCGTTTGAACTGTCTGTAGGTAGTGCTATCAATATCAGTATCTGAAGCATATCTATTGAACATATTGCACAAATCATATATTGGAGAGCTTTTATATAAATTCGTCCGTGGGTAAGCTAAATAAAAAACATTTTTTGTTCTTGAGTTGACACGATTTTGACCGACTATTTCTGGAGAATCAACATAACCTTTTAGTATTCTGTACATTGTTGCGAGAAATATTTTAGTTCTTCTTTGATTTAGAGACAGTCTATTAAATAAACCTAGCAAGAAGTCATTGTCACAACCTCTTTGTGGATAAAATCCGTACTTTCTAAAGTGCATAGCCTTCAAAAATTTTCTTTGAACTCCCTCGATAATACTTATCCAAATGTGATACTGAGGGGACCAAATTATACTACCATACTCCAGTATCGGTAATACCAGACTATCAAATAGGTGGATGCTGACATCAATATTGAACTGTTTAGTATTTCTACAGATAAACCCGGCAACTCTCTGCGCACTCTCAATCTTCGAAATAATATGAGAAGAAAATGAAAGATTATCTTCAAAAGTTACACCCAAATCCTTTTGTTCAGAAACACGTTTTAGTTTTTCATTATTTATTGTCAAATTCCATTGGGTTTTTATTACGACTGAAACTGAGACAGGAGCATTTGTTCAAATTTAAGTTAAAGCTATTTTTCTAACAATACCTAACTCGCTGAATCTTGTAATTCTCTTTGAAGAATTTCGCAATCTTCAATCGAGGTGATTTCAATAAATAATTTAAAATCGTCGGCAAATGCCAATGATTCCACATTTTTGACTTTGCAAAGAATTTTATTGAAAGCAATAACAAAAAAAAGGGGCCCAAGATTTGAACCTTAGGGCACACCAGAAGAACTAACAAAAAGAGTAGACCGACTACCTTTTAATTCTACAAACTGATACCTTTTACTTGAGTCTGTTCCTAAGTAAGATTGAATTAAATTATTCAGGTATGGAGGAACATCCATTGCCTCCAGACCATCCAAAATAGTATTGTGACTTACTTTATCAAATGCTTTTTCTAAGTCAGTGTAGATAACATCTACCTGTGTTTTCCTATTCAATGCTTCATGTATATATTGCGTAAAGATTGTTAGATTTGTAAATGTGGACCTTTTTGGTAGGAAACCATGTTGATTGGGAGATATTTTAAGTGATACTTCATTGAAAAGCAATTCAAATATAACAATTTCAAATATTTTTGAGATTGCACACACTATTGTTATGGGTCTATAGTTTTTAATATCTTGTTTAGGACCACTTTTGTGTATAGGTATCACTTTACTAAGTTTCCATTTTTCTGGGAATGTGGCGGTTTTAAGCATAAGATTAAACAAGATTTTTAAAGGAACAAGTAAAAATTCACTGCACCCTTTCAGTATAAATGCAGGAATACCATCATGGCCAATAGACTTGTTTGGTTTAAGTTTTTTGAAAGCCTTTTTTATGTCTAAAACAGATATTTCTGCATCACAAAAGTATGTTTTAGCATTATTTGCATTGGTGTGATCGGCAATATTATCATTACTGATAAACACAGATTTGAAATATTTTGCAAAGCCGCTAACAATGTTGAATGTTCCCGAGAATATTTCATTCTCAAACGCCATTTCATCCGAAATCTCTGGACTTTCCTTAAAGCTTTTAAGATATGACCAGAAAAGTTTTGGGTTAGATTTCAAGCTTGATTCAACATCCACCAAGTATTCAGCATGGGCTGTTTTGATTTTATTCCTGATTAAGGTTCTCAAACCGTTATATCTGGTTTTCCAAAACTGAGACTTGTATTTACGAGATTTCAAAAAGCATGTGTGTTTTTGCTTTAAAAGTTTTATTATTTCATTGTTGAACCAAGTTGGATACTTCTTACTTTTTTGTGTAGACTTTGGTACGCATTTCTCAAATATGTTGTGTATTATTTCATAAAAAGCATCAATTGCCAGATTAGCATTTGTGAAATCGCATAAATCATCCCAGTCTTGTTCCTGAAAAAAAATTAGATATGAAAACTAAAAAAAAAGCAATTATCCAATCCAATAATCCTGCACTAGTCCAAATTATCACGTAATGGCAATCTGATTGGTTGAAATCAACAATTAAAACATGCCAGTTTATGCATGGGGTCTGTGTCATTTGCGCGTCAACCGTTTGCGCGAGGGAGAAAAGCGCGATACGAAAAGCGCGAAGGACAAAAGCACGACGGAACAAAACTGCGACAGAACAAAAGTGCGATTGACAAAAACGCGACTGGATAGATAGTGATGTGAACAAGGGAACGTTCTGATTGTGCTTTCGAGAACATTCGCGAACGTTGGCGCACGAAAAAAAGGTTCATGCTGAATATTACCTTCGGAGCACAATAAGCATGATAGAGAATATTCAGCACGTTCTCAAGCACGATCCTAACCAATAAAATCACATGACGCCATAGAGTAGAGATATATTTATGGAAGCTGTTGAAGGCGAAGATATATCGAATATTGAGCCCGAGAACCAAGAAGCAACTTAGCAGCAATAGTTATTTTTTTTTGGAGGCAAAGGTAGCGTTGTACTGGGATATACTCAAACTAAAATCACTATTTTATTTTATTATCAAAAACAAAAAAAGGATCCTAATGATAATTATTATTGTATGTTGAAGTTTCACAGAAAACCCCAAATTAGAATAAATATTGTTATCAAACATGACACAAGACACAATTCACAAATTATGTGATTAATTATGTATTAAGTAGGCATATTTTCCTAAGAAGTTTGAGAACTTTCAGCACATTTATCAAGAATTTTCAGAATATTCAGAACTTTCACAAGAAATTTGGGAATTTCGGGAAATTTGAGAAAAATCAGAATTTATTTAGAAAAATGTTTTGTTTTATTAAGCTTCTGATAAAAAGCATAAATTCTAGGGTCCTGCTCGTTTTTGCTCGTTTATTCTCGTTAATTCTCGATCCTGCTCGGAGAACGTTCTCCTAAAATACTTC